CAAGAAGTGTGTCTTCTTCGCGAAAACATTCACGTATCTACATTATCGTGTGTATTTAAGGTATGTTTCATTTGTTGGGTTTGTTATGGTTCACTCTACGATATATTCGTTTTCTTAGGAAAGGTTTATGTAGATCATAACTTTAATACGACGTGACTCCAAATGAAATAAGACTTAAGCTTATAAGCTTAAGCTTTTACAGTAATAGCTTCAACTGGAAAACGGTAATTTAACGCTTTGTTTAGTGTTTTCAAAGACCAATTATCTCAATTATAAGTACATGGATACCCTCTTTTGCTTTGGTCAAGCTTTAGTGGTATCATAACAATTATTATTAAGCCAGTTCAGCTTGATATTGTTGTTGCTGTTGTCTTGTTCGTCCCGCGTTCTTGACTCAGAACAAAAAGGGTCTCCTTTGTCGGGCTTCCTGTCAGCAAGAATATAAGACTGATGTTATCATTTACTTAGTCTTTAATTAATTAACGTTTAAAATTATCCTAAGATTGGATTCGTTCCTTCTCGTATTAGCGATCTTTTTGACTCGCAGGATAGCTGTTTGCGAAATCGTTTGGGAAACATTCCCATCGACCTATATTAGCGTGTTTTACCACACCTAAGAGGGGTACGCTTGGTATTTTGGTCCTTTATTGACATTTCTAAAAACATAAATAAGGTATGCTCATTGTTTAATTATTATAGAATAAAGTTTTATAAAAGATATTAATCATACTTGTTGGCCCATTCATAAATATCCTAGCTGAAATTACCCTATAAATTTACCAACATCAAGAGTTCAAACTGGGTAAAGACAAACTTTCAGATATTTTCTAAAAAGTTATATTTGCATCTCTTAGTATGAACAACAGAAAACCAAGAAGGGCAGCTCAAGCCATGTACGTTCCTCCAGCTCGAAGAGCCCTCAAGAACAATTTGAACACAAATGTCCCAAAACTAGAMGAGCAAAATAGTGATGATGTTGATGAATTACTGAAGTCCTTTTCAAAATTACACTTGGAAGATGAGAAAAAGGAATCGGTTGACTTGATTATTTCATCTACTAAGAAAGTCATCTTAAAGATTAATGGCGAGTCAAGTAATGAAACTGTGGAGAAACTAGTATTTACTATTATTAAAGAAGGAAATGTAATGCTAGGTAACTGCCCAGATGGACTAGATTCTATGATGGATCTCATCAGAGACAAGATATTAGAGAAACAAATAAAACCAAGTACTAAACGATATCTTTTTAATATCCTAGAATGGAGAGCCAGAGCATTTAGACTAGTATAAAATTATTCATTAAAATTCTAAAGTCTAAATACCAGGGCTGGAATGTTCAAAGATCGATTACATGTAGCACCAATACCAGGTTAACTTTTAAAAAATCTAAGGACCGAAATAACCTTGTATTAACACTAATCAAGCTTTGAAAAGCTCTGACCAGATATCTAAAGTTTTTGTATCTCCAACAAAGAGTTAAACCACTTGAGATTTATTTATGAACTATATCACACTAATCAAAGATTAATTAAACTTTACAACAGTTTATTATCATGATTGTTAGTACTAGAATATATTTACAAATGTATTTTCAAATTCTGATGTGATTAGCATTAACTTGTATCAAATTTACCAAAGCCTTGTATTTAACAAGATAAATACCACACAAATTAAGCACATGCCATACCTAGTATCAACAGTACAATATACAACATGACTAGTGTTATGGACCAGCCATATACAGCGTCTATATATATGTATAATACACTCTACCAGAGAATGCTGTCAAAACTAAGGTGCACAATAAGTGTCCAGTTGTGTCCAGCACTAAGGACGATGTGCTTTAAACTATAAAAATACTAACTTTGCAGTGCTTTTTTGGGTTATTATATTGTACATCCCTACAAACATTAGTGCCGACGCAATACTAAATGTGTTTTAAGTTTTCCAACCAAGGTTTTGAATAGTGATTTTCAAGAGACTTGCAGACTGTTCAACAGATACTTTACTAATACAATGCATATATTGGCACAACTATGTTGTAGCTCTTTCCAGTAGGCTGTTAACATATTGGTCACATTAGCAGAAACTAGTCTTTTATAAGTCTGGTGAAAATCTCTATAAACATGTATTTAGTGGTTTGGGATATTTTTTTCTTGTGAAGTATGCAGGAATACATTAGACTTTTTCCATCTGACTTAAGGAATGATTTACCATATTATATACATCTTGTTATAGTTGCAGTTTGATCAGAAAGATCTTGTAAATTCTTTGACATATTATATTATAAGCAATAAAGGTGTTAAGAATCACATTACGTACTTGCTATATGGACAGAACGTTACCCATCCTAATACCTTTTAAAGAACCCCCTTATTAAAAAATTATCAAGTAGAAGTTGACGGTTGAACAAGGCAATTCCTTGGATCTGTCATTGGTTTTTAGAGTGCTAAACTCACTATGATAAGTAGCTGTGTGTCTTATGAAGTACATTATGAAAATAGAGCAAAAAAGGTTGCTTCTTTTAAAAGCACTTGGGTTAGGATTTACATTGCTTTCCATGTATAAAGTGTAACGTTATGGCAATGTGCTTTTCTTAGCATTTCATATTAATAAAGCTTACACTGTATGCAATCAAGGTATCATTATTAGATCTCATATTCACTGTGTTCACTATCATTCCTCTTTAACAGAGGCCTGATATTAACATGCACTCCATCCATACTATCGTCAAGGTTGATGCCGTCTTGTATACTATCTTGATGACAACTGTCCTCCGTATTATCAGAGATGTTCACTGGGTTATCGTATACCTCTTTATTTAAGTCTGTCTTTTCAAAAGTTACATTATCCTCTACTGGGATCTCCATATCAGATAAACTGTTTCTTTTTTTCTTCTCATCCTTTTCATTCTGATGTTCTTTTGTCTTCAAAACAGACTCCATRACATCAACTGGTCTGGCGTAACCAGAACTAGTTTCTGATATCACACTGTCCCTGYTTGCTTGYTCAGGGAAAAGTTCTATGTAWGTATGAGTACTTGAACGAGCAGAGTTCATAGTAGGCTTGAGTTCAACTCCAGAAGACCCTGAATTCTCAGGAGTTGCAGTTTCAAAGCTTTCTCCAGAGTTCTCTGGTGTTTTGGTGGTGTAAATGTCATCATGATCRCAGTGATCATAACTTAAWCCTGGAATCTGACTTATCCGAACACTAGCGTAAGGTGAAGTTGCATCGCTTGATACTGAYGACAACGTACTTGAATCATAAGCAATATTATTAGCTTCAGTCTCTTGGGAGACTTGYTGCAAGTCCTCATGGCTTAAACTTGCATATATACTCTCGCAATCAGCATTATGCTTATATGTAGGAGTCTTGAGTTTARTTGGGCTGTGCTGCGGTGTATAATCAGATATAGTTGGCGAATTGGGTTGGCTGTCTGACACRCTTGCATATTCTGCATCCCTATTATGCACACTTTCATAGGAATGGTATATATCAACATTTGTAACATTAAAATCAATTCCTTTCAAAAGAGTAAGTGTATCAAGAGACTTTGATTTGCGGTGACTTAAATTATTGCCAGTCACTTTAGTATGAACATCAAATGAGCTTTTCCTTGTAGCAAAAAGAGCTGGTTGATCCACCATTACTGGCAAACATATATTATTATTATTGTTGTTAACAGATCTGTGAAGATTAGATCCATAACTTGCAGACTTGACCAAATTGGTGTAAGGAGGCTCCCTAAAAAGGAGCCCYRCCTTGGGYGTGTCTTGTGTTTTAATGACAGGCAGGGTATTAAAAAACCTGAACTTATCCAAACTTTTGGAGAATCTCTTGTTAATTGGAACAGCTGGGAGTGGACGGCTTTGAATCAAATTAGAAACRCTACGRGCACGGCTTCCAATGCTTTGTGTCTTGTCTTGTTGTTCTGGATCAATGGTGTTGAATTGTGCAGTTGATCCATACTTGTCCAAACCACCATTAGAGAACA